TCGATATAGTCTCGGCCGATTTGGGGGCAATTTGTTTAGAATATGCAAAGGGCTGGCTGGCGAACCTGATGTCCGCGGATCCCACTGATTTATGGCCAGCGGGTTGTGTCAATAGTTCGCGGCTGATTTATGAAAGCTTTCCCCCCGGCAAGGTAGCTTCGTCTCGGGGAAAGGGAAATTATGAAAATTATTGTCAAGCCAAAGTTCACCGCTCGGTTTTTCGGCTGGAAAAACCCTCACATGGACGAAGTCAGCCAACTGCAAAATGTCAACGTGGCCCACCCGCAGCGCTGTTTCCGTGATGATTGCGTCATAAATGCACTGCGAGAAATTGTTAAGTGGAAGGGGAAAATAAATTATGAAAGATATGTATCTATACTGTTTTTAAAAATAAATAATAATAAAATATGTATCTATACTGTTTTTAAAGATAATTAAGTAATAATTTATATAGAAAATATTATCCAAAATTTGCAAAATTGATTTTACAGCTTTATTTTAGACTTCTGAAACTAACAGCTTGGGTCAATAAATAGATATTCCTATTTTTCAAAATTAATTTAAATTTCTGGGATTTAAGTGAAATAATTTCTAGTTTTTATATATATGATTTATCTTTATTATATGTCTTAATATTTTCTTAAATATTTCATGTATATTCATTCAATATCAAGTCTTTAACTTAACCCCTACTTAGCTCCTACTTCTCTTTTAATCTATGGTTTTCTTTTCTTCATAATTCATTCTACATAAACACAACAATTCTTCTATATTCGCTTTAGAACATATATGTTGGACTTTCTTTCTTTTCCGACATTTAACTGCATTCCAGATAAACGACTAACTTCATAACCCTTTTTTTCCAAAGTGCAATGCCAAATCAAGGGATTACAAGCGGCAATTCGAAGTGAACACTGGAATCAATCGAAGGGCGGTGAAATCGGGGGTGGAGTTCGAGGTTTCGAGGTCCGTTGATTGAAGGTGGAAGGTGGCCGTTCGCTCGGCCGTGTTTTCGGGGTGGAATCGAGTGGAAAACCTTTCGCATCGGATTGGCAAGGGTTCATCGGCTGTCGGCTGACGATTGTCGTTTTTCGCCCATACATGTAGGTAGTATATTTGACATCGGCGCATGACAAAAGTCACATGGCCAGCGGATTAGTTACACCTTCTGAATTCAGAATTCTGAACTCGGTATCCTGAATGTGAATCTGAATCTGAGGTGGAAGGTTTTTTCGCGGGGAGGTTCGGGAGTTGCTACATTGTTGCTGCCCGCTGAACTGTGAGGCTGAAATTGAATGAATGAATGGAAACCCAAATACCGAATGCATTTTCCGGCCAGCAAATGCAGAGCGTGCCTTGATTTATTCCCGATTGTGCGGAGATTAGCGCTAATGGCCGAGGGCAGCTGCTTTTCCGGGGACTTTGGTTAGGGAAAAACTAAAACCTTTCAGCATAATTGAATTTAGCCCCGGCTACGAGGGACATTCACCTACTTAAGCCCAAAAAATGGCCTCTCTGATAACTAAGCCAAATATTAGCCAGGCGGCCAAAGACAAATGCCATGTGTGTCAACAGTTCATCGAGGCGTCAATTACTTTGCATAACGCATGGGGATTGAGTCCTTCAAGACAACAAATGAATTTTAAGTGTGGTTTCCAGCTTTGGCCAAAAGAAACGGCCGAGAAACGTGTGCGTGCGACTTAATCTCCACTTGGCCCGCTTAGCACACACATCTCTATATGGAGAGGCCTTCCATTCCATTCCAGATATTATCCGCTTATTTATGGCCGTCGTTAACATATCTTAGCCAACTGGAGTTTATCTGGCGGCTGGGCTCTAAGTTAAATGAGCCTGGATTTCGTATTGGCTAAGTGAAATTGTTTAGTTTTTCCACGACTTTTCTAGTGCAAGTGAAAGTTTTCGCCGTACGTGACAATTTGTTTTATTTTAAGCGAATTAAAATTAAGCAGATGAGTCCCTCTGCGAGGGAGACGGAGATATACAAGCGACTGCTCGCACTGCTTGAATTCCATTATTTTCTTATAACTCTTTAATGAATGATCCGATTTGAAAAAGTTCTTCTACATTTTAATTTACTCTACGAGTATTGGGTATAGAAAACCCCCTTCTTTTGCCTGCCAATCAATAATGAAGTTCTTTCTCTTTTACTTGAAAATAAATGCCAGGGCATTAGGCCAGACCAAAGGCATATTTAGAAACCCATTTTCACATGGGATAGCTCTCGAGAATACCCAACCAAAGCTGACCCAATCTGCCAATCTGAATGCCGACGCGGCCGAAAGATAATGATTAATTGTCAATTTAGGTGGCACAATGACAACAGACTGGCCCGAAATGGCCAATAAACGGTTCGTTTTGGTTCTACCTTAAAAGCCGGCAACAATTTCGGGCATCCGGTTTAGTTTTTGGGCTAAGCCTACCGCTATCCCAACTCAGGGATATCTACTCACATGTCCATCAACATGAAGATGCGGTCTGTGGAGTGGAGTGAACCAACTCTCGACTGGCCTGTGACATGTGGAAATAAATGTACTAGAAAATTACCAACTTATGTAATCTTGGTTAGCATCATTTATCAAGCGGACGTTTTGCAATTTTTCTTACTTTTGCCAGGAGGCAGCAGGACGAGCTTTCAGGACATGTCGAGAAGTCGGACTTGGTAGCACACAGGCAATACACATGTGTGTTTGGACTCAGTCACAGTCGCAGGAAATTGCCATTTCTCAGTCGTCCTGGAAAAGCCAAGGAGGTGGAGGTAACTTTGTCATACCTTGGAGAAGGGCTCTGTTGGCTAATTGAAAGAAGTCACTCACTTTTGGGATTTCGTAATGGAGTTTCCCTTACCTGATGTTGAACTATTTAATGTTAATGTGTAGGAAGTATTTAATTAGAACATAATATCAGTTAAATGTCGAATGATATAAAGACTTTGGTAACCTACTGTTTTATTAAAAAAAGATTGAAGAGTATTTTTTATAACAGATAATACATTTAACCAAATGGAATAAAGATATGATACTAAAACACAAAAAAAAAAACACGTAGCGGTAAAATCGATATGCCCATGGTAAATTTGTGGAATTTTATAAACATATCTTTTTTAATATGAAATACTGGTAAAATTGATATTACATAATATCATTTTGCCAATTTCTCTTGGATATTGTTTGACAAACATAATAGTTAAATATATAATTAGTAACTATTACGAGTCAGTTGATTTTGTTATCTTCTTAATTCCAAGAATGCTTTTCCATTTCAGACTTTTCTCTCTAATATTATTTTATACGATGACCCATTCAAAGAAGTCCTCCTCAGACCTCGTTTTCCCATTACAGCTTTGACCCAGACGTCACTGACTATCTGATTTATTGTGTAAAAGTGATGAAACTCCAAATTCCAAGTGTATCAAGCGCCCAGTATCGTTACCGCATTGACCTGCCACTCGAAATCGAAACCGAAATCGCTTCGCTAATTCAGCTCCGCAAGGGAAGGCATTCGCAGAGGCGCCGTAAGATGCGCGATTGGCGGTTGGATAGTGGCCTGCTGTTATGAGCCAGCTTAATACGCAGCTCACCTTCAACTCCAAGGAAGACTACAATACCACGCTGGACACGTTGAGTCGCGAGTTCGACGAGCGATGGAACCACCAGGTCCAGTCGCCCTACACCAATCTCGAGAATTATATAACGCGTGCGGTCCTCGGCAACGGAAGTTTCGGCACTGTGGTAGAAGGATCTTCTTTTACCATAATAACCATAATAATATTAATCCCATCCCAGATGCTGGTCAAGGAAAAGGGTGGCAAGAACTACTATGCCGCCAAGATGATGAGCAAGGAGGATCTGGTGCGGCTCAAGCAGGTGGCCCATGTGCACAACGAGAAGCACGTGCTGCATGCCGCCCGATTCCCGTTCCTCATCTACCTGGTGGACTCGACCAAGTGCTTCGACTACCTCTACCTCATCCTGCCTCTGATCAACGGCGGTGAGCTGTTCAGTTACCATCGCAGGTGAGTTGCCCTCCCTATAGAATACTCATTCTGATATTCCATAAACCCGAAAAGGGTTCGCAAGTTCAACGAGAAGCACGCCCGATTCTATGCCTCCCAGGTGGCCCTGGCCCTCGAATATATGCACAAGATGCACCTGATGTACCGGGACCTCAAGCCGGAGAACATACTGCTCGACGGGAAGGGCTACATCAAACTCACGGACTTTGGTTTCACAAAGGTGGGTGTTGTATGCTGTGTGTGTGCCGGCAGAGCGCGGGCAGATTAAATCCTTAAATCTAAAATCCCAAAAAAATCCCTAGCGCGTGGATGGCCGCACTTCGACGCTGTGTGGAACCCCGGAATATCTAGCCCCCGAGATCGTGCAGCTCCGGCCGTACAACAAATCCGTGGACTGGTGGGCCTTCGGGATTCTGGTGTACGAGTTCGTGGCCGGTCGCTCGCCCTTCGCCATCCACAATCGCGACGTGATCCTGATGTACTCCAAGATCTGTGTCTGCGACTACAAGATGCCCAGCTACTTTACGCCCCAGCTGAAGGACATGGTCGAGAGCCTGATGCAGGTGGATACCTCGAAGCGGTAAGTAGAGTTCTTATATACGTAAGGTAATGCTCATTCCAACCCTTCTCAGTTTAGGAAACTCGAACGAGGGCGCCGTCGATGTGAAGGGACATCCGTGGTTCCAGGGCGTCGATTGGTTCGGCATCCTCAACCAAGAGGTCATCGCTCCCTATGTGCCCACTATTTCCGGTGCCGAGGATCTGTCCAACTTCGAGAACTTCGAGTACAAGGATCGGTTAAAGTCCCGCATAAACCGGCATCCCGAGTTGTTTGCAAATTTTTAAATGTCAATTTGTTCGTAATAATCGTCGTTTGCTTTGTATAAGGGAGGGGATTTTACAAAATAAAGATTTAAAGAATAAAAAATTTCTTATTTACACCTCAGTAGTTAGTAAATGGGTAGCCCTAGCTCTTTAAATCACTTTCAGAACCGATCTTTTAGTAATGCCCCAGAGAAAAAATTCGAAATTCTAGTGTAGTTAGTAGAGAACAAAGCTGATAATCGCAATGGGACCGCAGCCCGAGCAAGCGCAGATGCACTTCAGTCCCAAGGTGGACTACATCCTGATTCTGGACAAGCTGCGCGAGGATTTCAACAAGAAGTTCGCCGTCAATGTGCCGTCGCCTAGCACGGGATTGGATGACTACGATGTGAAGGCCACCCTAGGCTCGGGATCCTTTGGCAAGGTGCAGTTGGTGCGGGAGAAGGAGTCTGGCAATTACTATGCCTCCAAGCAGCTGAGCAAGGATCAGATCATCAAGACCAAGCAGGTCAGCCACGTGATGAGCGAGAAGAACGTGCTGCGATCGATGACCTTTCCGAATGTGGTCAATCTAATAGCCTCTTATAAGGATTTTGATAGTCTGTATCTCGTTCTTCCACTAATTGGCGGTGGAGAGCTCTTCACTTATCACAGAAAGTAAGTAATATAGGTTAAGATTGGGAAACAAACAGTAACTGATGAGAATGGGGTGCTATCTTAAAAAATTTTTTCCTTAAGAGTGCGAAAGTTTACTGAGAAGCAGGCTCGTTTCTATGCCGCCCAGGTTTTCTTGGCTCTGGAATATATGCATCATTGCAGTCTGCTCTACAGAGATCTCAAGCCCGAGAACATAATGATGGACAAGAATGGTTACTTGAAAGTAACTGATTTTGGATTTGCCAAGGTTTACTATCTGTTCTTTCTCTTCCCAACAAGTATCTTTGAGTAACATTATTTCTCAACCAAAAACAGAAAGTGGAGACCCGTACAATGACCTTGTGTGGAACTCCCGAGTACCTGCCACCCGAGATCATCCAATCGAAGCCCTATGGAACCAGCGTGGACTGGTGGGCCTTTGGGGTGCTGGTCTTTGAGTTCGTGGCCGGTCACTCGCCCTTTTCCGCCCACAATCGCGATGTGATGAGCATGTACAACAAGATTTGCGAGGCCGACTACAAGATGCCCAGCTATTTCAGTGGGGCTTTGCGCCACTTGGTGGATCACTTGCTGCAGGTGGATCTCTCAAAGCGGTGAGTATATAACGTAGATGTATAATTGGATTTATAAATTATATTCCCTATCAGCTTTGGCAACCTAATCAATGGCAATCGGGACATCAAGGAGCACGAGTGGTTCAAGGATGTGGAGTGGATTCCCCTGCTCAATCAAACTGTGAATGCTCCCTATGTGCCCAACATCAGCAACCCGGAGGATTTATCCAATTTCGATAAGGTCTCTGAGAAGCCCAGGCCCAAGGCAAAAACCATGCGACATGAGGAAGCCTTCGCTGATTTCTAAATTTTGTTTGACTTGTGATAGTGATGGATCTTTAGATTTTGTAAATATTCGGCAATAGCTAAGAACTCGATTCCAAAGATCCCCCAGTTTTCCTTTTTTTTCGATTGACGACAGCTGCTGCTCACATGTGTGATGTCAACAGCTCTGAATTTCTAAGGGGGAATACTTTGAATTTTTCTGGGAAAACAGCTGGCTTTCCCACACTTGTTGAGCTATTTTCCCTGGGCAGCTCCCATTTTCAATTCGACAAACTTGACTTGTAATTAGACTTGAGGCAGTGCCATAAATCTTGTGCGTTTGTCGCTGCTGCAAGTGGATGGATGGATTTATGGCCACTTTGTTTGTTTATCTCGCTGAAAAAGAGTTTTCTATCTTTTGCCCGAAATTATGTTAAACAATATTTAAACGAGCTCGCCTTTCGCTTTTCGCTAGCGGGAGCAGAAACCATAAATCTTTTATACCTTTTTCTGCTCTTCTGCATATCGGACGCACATTGATTTATATGCAAAGACTTAATAAAAATAGAGCAATGGCCAGACGACAGAAAAACTAGACGCCATGTTCCGAAGGTCCAAGGTCTACCTTTCCTTTGGGTCCTTTGTCCGGCTAACAAAACAAAAAGCCACTCGAGGAGGGGGTGGAGAAAAAGTTATGATTATCATAATTTTTGTTACGTGAGTTTTCATGTGGAAAAGATGAAACATCATCGTCTCCGTCGCAGTTTTCCCCCAGTCTCGACGATTTTCCTTGGTTTCCCTTTGGGGTGGAAGTCGTCATCGCTGTAATCATGGCACGCATTTACTCCTGTTTTTACCTCTGCTTTTTGGCGCCCGCCAGGCAGGCGCCACTTTCAGTTGAGCTCGAGACTCCAGACTCCCAGCTATCCTATCCCCTTCCTATATGGCAAAAATGTACACAGAAAAGAATTCGATATGAAACAGGGTCAATTCTACATTATTTCATATCAATATGATAGGGTTTTTGTCGAATTTATGATTCAAACATATCAATATGATATTTTATCACATCATTTAAAATACCGAATTTAGTATTTTTTAAACAAATAATGTAAAATAAGATCAATATCATGCTTATTCATATCAAATTGATATGAAAACAATATAAAATTTATTAGCACATATCAATCTGATCTTTTGTCAATTTTTTTTCTGTGCATCCCCCTCCTATATAGCGCAAATATATATAAATTCTATGGCTTCTGAGCTTCAGACTCTCAGACTTCCAGACACATTTTCTCCGTGTTGTGTTTTGCTTTTCGCATGCGTTTTCGGCGGTTTCGCTTTCCCGCTTTTCCCGTTTTCCTCGCAGGAAACAAGGGGCTCGCACTTCCTGGCCAGACTGCGAATCAGATAGTAAGACATCATGCATTCTAATGAGAATTTTAATTGCAGCCCATTGACCACTTGAGGAGTCCTGTCAGCTTTCGTTCCGGCGCAGGACACGTGGCTCGGATGCGCTTCATGCCCGACTGCCCTGGGAACTTTGGACGGGGATAACTCGTCACCCAATGACAAATTTCCAGAAATTAGCAATGCCCCGATGCTTGGGATACATTTCACATTATGCGTTGGACAATTGAATACCAGAAGCGAGTATTCGTGAATTTCAGGGGTGGTTGCTGCTCATCTGTAAGTGAATTAATTGCTGTTTTGATTGCGCTGGGAAAGTTTGCTTTTCGGTTGTTTCTACTTTTTGTGAAAATGAAGTGTGCACGTTTATTGCATGGATCGGTGAAAATTCGTTACGAAACTTATGACTAAGACTGCTCCAGCTCGACTTCGACGGAAACCGAGGGCAGATCCTCCTTAAACTCGGGCGTGTAGATTTTACCCGAGGCCAGGACGAATTGCTCCTGGCAGTCGACGATGAAATAGGCGAAGGGACGATTGATTTCAAAGCGTTCCACGCCTGGCTGTTCGGGTTCGGGTTCAGGAACAGGCAAGATGGTGGATTCCAGGCTGGGAGAGGGATTCCTGGCCTGCATGGTGGCTGCCGATAGGGAATTGGCACTACTTCCACCTTCATCCACGCGGACATTCACAAACTGCACAATCTCATCGACGTGAATGTCGGAATCCTCGGAAAGCAGACCCAACTGAGCTTCGGTCCTCGAGAAGACCTTCTTCAGACCCATCTGCTTGAGCATCGCCTCCGAGCGGGAAGTCTCCTCCACCTGGAACTTGGGCAGCGACACATGGAGATCCTTCATTTGGAACTGCTTTTGAGCTAAAAGGAAATCACTGGTCTCCAGCTTCGATATCACATCGCTCAGACCCTCCGTCTCATCGGGTAAAACAATACACAGCGAGTAGCGGGACGTCTCATAGGGCAGACTGAGAACTCGAGCCTTGACTTGGGGCAAATCCGCCACCTGGAACTTGCCACGGGCATGCATCATCGGTGCCTTCATGGCATCCTCGTTGGTCATGAAGAAGAACTCATCGCTGCCGTCCCTCAGTTGGTAAAACGGAGTCGCCCAGCTGCCGCGGTAGTAGAGTCCATTGAACAGAAGCATCTTGGACTTGGATCCCACCGAGCGACCCGTGATGGAATTGGCACTCAAGGCGGAGGCAATGTCGTCCTGGCGGAACAAACTGCGGGCTCCATAGACCTGAGGGTTAAATAAGGGATTCAAAGTTAAAATAAACAAATGGGTACTTAGAAACGATGAAATTATAAACGTGGGCCAACAATTTTAAAAAGTCTTTTATGAAAAAAACACGATTTTTTCTGAGTGTTTTCCTCGTTATTGTGTTAAAAAATGTGTAACAGCTAAAAGAATGACTGTTTTGCCCAACTAAAAACCTAATCTAACGATCCACATCACTATCGAGTAGATTTAAAAAATATAAAAAATTTCACAAATTTTTGCATTTTTTTATAAGGGGTTACATCAAAATTGTTGGCAAAAATATATACAAAAATTAAAATCTTTAGATTTAAATGCCAATCGATTGGGAATTTAATTACGAGCTCAACAAGGTATGACACTCCATATTTGAACAATTAATTCTTTTGTTTTGGCCAAAATACTGAAATTCTTTTGGATGTAAAATCAGGATCTAAGTTTTTTTTTATTTCTTCTGAAATTTATGATGTAACTTGAATCAGTATGATATTTTTTTTAATTTTCCCAACTTAATTCTATTCCAAATTTCAACTCACCCTGCTAACAGAAGCCAAGTGCGACTCTAAAGCGAGCATAATCTCGTCGGCGCCATCCTTGGCCACCGTCTTGACGGCATTTTCCAGCTTCTGGAGGGGCAGACGCACCTTCTCGGGTTCACCGGCGGTCACCAACGGAGCCTCACCGATCTTGGCCAGCTTCTCCGCCTCCTGCACCGTCTCGTTCTCCTCCAGGTTCTTTAACTGGCTGCTCTCCTCCTGGTCGCTGCGCTTGTTCTGCTGCTTCTCGGCTGGATTTTCCTCGGCTGCCATGTCTGGTTTTTCCTGTTTTTCCACAGCACCAGCCAAAGTGGTGGTTTCCTCGTTCTGGGCCTCCGATTCTGTGGTAAAGGCTTCTTGTTCTCTTTGCAGCAACTCGGCCTCAGCCTGGGCAACTGGTTTTTCCACATACTGCTTGTCATCTATGTCGCGATCGAACTTGGAGGCCTCTTTGTCGATGATTTCCTGGCCATAGCCATCAGCTGGAATAGCAGGGATGTCCTCGTCATCCAGGTTGATCCTCTTCAGGGTTTCGAAACCAATCACATCCTTGCTGTTGCTTTGTTCGGTGCTTCCCTCTGTGGAATCGGTATTATCCTTTTCCTCGGAGAGCTGCAGTGAAGTGTTGGGTTCATTCCAATCGTATTCCTGCCTGTTGATATCCTTCACATCCACAAAGTAGTGTTTCTCGAGGATATCCTTAAAGTTCTCCTTAACACTATGATTCCTGTAGATGTACAGCCAGGTCTGGAAAGATGGAAGGGCCACGGCAGCATCCCTGTTCTGATAGCTTCCCAGAATCCTCTTGTAGGCCTCCCTCAGCTGATCCCGATCCTTGGGATAACCAAAGACCTGCTGGAACTCCGCATAGGTATCCCCCTCAGAAGCCTCTGCCAAAACGGCCAGGATGGAGGCGACTCCTAGAGGGGAATGCACCTGGTTGGCATCGATGTCCTTGTTGAACTTCAGCAGCTGCAGAGCAATCTGCTGGGAAACCTGGCCGGCAAAGGATCCCTGAGGGCCATCCTCCTTCAAGGTGGGCAGACCACGACCCAAAGTGGCCAGCAGAGTGACGAAAATCGCGCAGAGAACCGCTTTCATGGTGACGACAAGCGCGAATGAGCCGCAAGAAAGTTGGCCAAAGACTTTTTATGAAAGCCAGAGCTCGAGAACCGGCGAGAACGAAGCTCTAAACTGGTTGTGAGCTCTTTGGAGATGCCAAAAGGGGGGGAGCTTCTCCAAGAGGCTTTGCATTTGACAAACCGACGATCACAAAGAAAGTCAACGAAAGTGGAAGTGGCGTGGGCCGCTCTCGAGGGCCCCAAATTAAATGGGTCAAGCCAACAATCAATATGTTAATGCTACACAAAAAATCGTACCTCACAACTCACAGAAAAACCAGCGCAAACAAAAGTTCAAAGTCATTGAAATGTTAGAGAGCAACAACAGGTTTTTTTTCTCTACGTGATTGACATTTGATTTTCTGGCCGGTTAATTGCATTTTCTTGTACTTATTGTGATTTTTAGTCTTTAGTTTTCGGTGTGTGTGGAAATTGTTTCCCCGAAAATGGGATGTAGATTGCCTCACAGAAATTTGGCAATCTTGGGATCTTCGGATCTACCTGACCACGCTTAACCCAGTTTTTTTTTTTCGACTGCCCAATCAAGTGGCCAGACACATAAGAACACAAATCATTTATACCAATCATAAAAAGCTGGCCAAAACAGTTCCAACACACTTGGAGGCCACTGAACTTGGCCATCGCAGTTGTTGCTGCCTCTGCCGCTGATTACCAAATACGATGGGCGGGCGAAAGCGGCCAGAAGCGAGAATATGCTATGAAGCGAGTACCAAACACGGAAAAAAAATTGGCAAGCATCAAAGAAAAATTACTAAAATACTCTTAAACATTCCTGATGGTAAATATTTTACACCAACCCCTTCTTTAAAAATAAGTTTAGAAATAGAATACCTCATAAATACACTTTGGATAAAATACACTTTAAATATTCTTAATATTAAATATTCAAAACCAACCTTTTCTTTAAAAATTCCGTTTAAAAAAATATATTTCTTTTATTTTACTGATTAAGTTTAATAAAATCTCCAAGTGCACCTGGAAGAGTACCAGGTGTGACGCTTCTAGTTGCTAATAAAACGTGCTAAATTAAAGCGCGGCTAACAAACACTGATTCTTTTTTAGGGGCTTGTAAACGAGTTTTTCCGTTTTAGAACGAGTCAAACAAAAAGTTGCACAATTTTATAAGACCAAAGAGGTTGGTTTTTTTTCGAGAAGGGGGCGTGGGGATAAATACATATATAATATCTATATAGTGAGTCGCCAGTGCAGCGAACTTTTCAGAGAGCCACAAAGAACCCGAACCCGAGGAGCAAAAGATGCTGAGTGGCTTATGTAATTTATTCGACAAGTTCCGCATTTGTTCTCGATACCCTCGCTATAAGAAAAGGTTACTGAACTGTGTGATTAATCGGAGGTGGTGAAAATCCAGTTTAATTAGCATGGATCGGAATCGGTTCGAGATTGGTATAACTTATTTGGGGCACATTAAAGAGCCCGTTAAAAGTTATTTTTAAATGCCATTCATCTTTGTTCGAAAAGTTGATTCTTTTGTTCTCAGATTTTAAGGTAAGTCAAGAATTAAATGGGTTTGATTTTTAAAATATAACTGATTAAGTATTTATTATTTTTAAATAAATAAAGAAATTTGAAATATTTTCTAGAAGAAGATCATAATAGAGCATTTCATCTTCGCCTAAAATTTAAGAACCAGAACTACTTCAGTATTTGTCACCTTGGGCCTGCCGTTATATTTTGAAACAAATACGAGTATTTTGTATTTTTGTTCAGCTTTTTGTCCATAAATTTCAATGCCCAAAACCATAAATTAGTGCCTCTCCGAGTGCTGAGTGGTTGAGGCTTCCGCTTCGCCTTCTACTTCGACTTCATATAAGGGAAAAGGGTCGAGAGTCGGGTTAGGTGAATTAGAAGTTATTATGGAAAACTAGCAAATGTCGCATAAATTAGAGCAAGGAATCCAGCAGGACACCTTCCCCAGGACTTCGTCCTTGTAAGAAACAACACCGCGGGGAGACATTAAGGACCGAAAATAATAAGAATCCCGGCAGTGGACAGTAGTTTTTGGGCCTGGGAATAGTTGGGACCACTCCGGCATTCGAATTACTCTTTATAGACGCCGTGACTAATTGTTTGATTTATGCAAATGTACTGGAAAACTTGTTTCTCAACTTTTAGTAATTAGTGGGGGCTCGACGAGAAGTCTAAGTCTTTAAGAAAGTTTTCCATAGGCAGCACAGCTTTAAGAGCTAAGGAATCCTTTTCTCCAAATCCCTCACTATTTGTTTCAGGAGGTGAGCTGTCATCTGTCAGCTGTCGTGGAGAACGCAATACATCATAAGTCAAAAGGTGAGCCCCTTGGCTCAATCGCTTTTGCCTGGCAGCAACTTGCAAAATAATTAAACTTCTGTTTATTCTCTCTCTGGCTCATCCTTACCCTCGGCGAACTTCTTAATTATGTTTGATAAACTAACACAGGCCTCTTCCCCGTCATCCTCACACATGTCACGTTGACATTTAGCACTCGACAGGACTCGAGGTGATGGATCTTTCACGTAGCTTCCTTCGGCGGCCATGTGTGCGACATAATTACGGAACAAAAGGCTCAGGGTAGCGGATAGGAAAGGTGAAATACACTAAAAAAAACTTCAAAAATAATAATCCAATTTAAGACATTGACAGGGGAAATCTATAATAAAATATTTAAAGAAATTACTAAATGGTTTACATAATTTATAAAGGTGTCTAAAAGTACGGTACATAATCTTTTGAATTATGTTTTTGTATTACCTACTTTTGGACACTTTTCTTAAAGATTTAAAGTCCCATAATCAAAGAGGAATAATTAGGGTGTTCAATAGCGTTGCAAACTTTGTAAAGTGTAGAAGTGTAAATCAATTCCAACAACAATTTCTATACAAAATAGTTTTAAAGGCCTACTTTTGAAAACTATTTTGTATAGAAATTGTTGTTGAAATTGATTTACACTTTTACACTTTACAAAGTTTGCAACGCAATTGAACACCCTATATAAGTTTTTAATGCTATAAAGCTAATTTAAAGCTTTAAATATTTCCATTAAATTAAAAATAAATATATTGAAAAATCCAATAATTAAAGTTAAATTATTTTTATTAAAACAGTTCCTTTTTTTTTCAAGTACCTACTCCAAACGTGTGATTAAGAGGTGGGTGTCCAAAACAGTTGAAGGAATTCATGCGCTTCATTTGCTCCACTTAATTTGGTAACTTGGCAGTCGGCGAACTTTTCGTTGCCTCAATTTAGTCACGTTTTAAACTGGAGACTTGAAACCTGCAGGAGACGGGGAAAAGAGTCACCTCTAACAAGTTGTTTGCCATGAAGGCGCAAATCCTGGTGTATCCTGGTGGTCCTGGGCTCACAAACTTCCAGGCAAACGTGGCGGCGGCGGTGGCAATCCCACTCGTAATTGATTTATGACATCAAAGACATATTTTTCGCAATGTTGCGTGGCCTACGTGCGTGACAGGATAGGCTGACTTTCTGACTGGCTGGAGGTCCTGGTTCTTCTGGTCTGGTCCTGATTTCTGGCTCTGCTCCTGGTTCTGGCCATCTTGTTGATAATTTTGACTTATGGCTAGTGCGGCTGTTGGCTGTTTGGCTCTTTTGCCCAGGATTTGTCGCATAACTCTGTCAGTCAAAAGTCGCCCGAAAACAGAAGATACAAACCATCTGCTTTCTGTATCTCTCACTGCTTTGTGTATCTGTATCTCTGCACTTTCGAGTGGCCAAGTTTTTCTATTAGGCGCAATTATTTCAAGGTATTATTGCTTTTAATTAATTCAATTAAACGCTTCATAAATTTTTACTTTTTGATTTCGCTGCCTGCGGCTGCTTTCGACTGAGTTTTCCATTAATGGAAAAACTTTGCCCACAGATTTTCCACAGCAGCCCGAGAAAAGGGGTTTAATTAACGGTTGACTGGGGGATGGAATTCGCTACTTTGCTCAAGATTTCGGATGTTTATTAAGGGATTCCCGTGGCTCGTCGTAAAATTTGATTTCGCATCTGAAGAGGAAGATGCTTGAAGTTATTGAATGCCGAGTGGTCGCGTTTATTTGCATTTTTGCGTGCATGGCTGCAAATTCCAGAGTTTCAGAATTACATTACCCAGAAAATCTCCCTTCAGAAGCTGTAACTTCAATTAAAAGGTCATCAGCAGTGGAAACAGCTGGGGCTTACCTAAATCGCTATTGATATGTAAGAGCATGCCCACACCTTCCCCAAAAAAACAGGACTTCCATCATTATCAACACATAGAGTCTGTCTGCAGGGTAACTTTTCCTGTTTTCCCCCTGGGGATCAAATAATCGAACTAGCGTCGAACAACAATTTGTTTTAAATGCCAAAAGTGAGGGCAGGACAATCGAATAGCCCTCACCCCTTAATAATTTATGAAGACCGCTCCACATGTGGGTCCGAAAAAGTTTTCTATCACTTGGCTCTAATAGAGATTAAATGCATGTCGAGAAGGCAATTAGTTGGAGCAACCAACCCTCTGGAAAAGGAAATCCCCACACCCTCCCAAAACTTAACTTGAAGTCCAACTTTCGACCTTTGGCCGCTCATTGAATCAAAGTGTTGCTCAATTTTTCTTACGGCCTAGGTGTTGTTGTGAATTTCGGATGAAATACAGATGATATAGGGGTTGCTGACTGCCGGAAGCAATTTAGCCGAACCCTTCTCAAAGGGTTTCCTTTTCCTGGCGAAACTCAGACGCTGCACAGTCACTGCTAATTAAACTCGCGCTGTCGCCGCTAATGAGCAATGAAAACAACGTGTTGTCCGGGGAAAGCTCTTGAGGAAAACTCGGAAAACCCAAAAAAAATCCCAGGAAGGGCGGGAATGGGCTGATAAGGGGCCCTGTTTCGAAATCGTCAGGTTGAATCAGCCATCAAAATAATGACGGCACGGATTTCTCATTACTTTTAAATATTTTTCCAGCAATTTTTCGGGCTTTAAGCCATTTAAAAGG